CGTTCCACTTGGCTCACTAGCCTACTAGGCTCACAGCCTAAGTCACACACTACTAGGCTCACTAGCCTAGATCACACTCACACTCAATCATAGCCATCGATATCCTCATCTACGGCTCCATATCGGCGGCCCTCTCAACCGCCTAACCTCCAAGGTTAACCGCCTAACCGCTGTGCACGCACGCCGGCGCTCACTAGTTCAAACCCTAACTCGGTCCGAACCCTAATCACGGAGTAATCCGGCTGACCATAATCACCGGATTCTAACAGCGTTGCTTAATTGGCGGGGGCGGGTTCTTCGCACTCTGCCGGGGGTTACCTTTCTGTCCGTTCTTGCCATTCCGTCCGTTTCCACTTCCGTTATCGTTGCCGCCGCCTTGCGCAACATGTGCCGTTTTGCCAAAAGCGGCGGGCGGCACAGGGATGTCAAGGGAGACGGCGGCCACATTTTCGTGCAGCTCCTTGATGTAAAGTTTGATTGGGTCCACGGGACCGCTACGGTGCAAAATCGGTCCGGGGCAAGTTCCGCAGTACTTGAAATTTACGGTGGTCGGGGCCCGCACAATTGCGACGGTACGACCAAATATTCAGTGCCGGAATCTCGGCGGTCTGTGGGTATTCCCGAAGGTGCTCGTACGATATTTCCACCAAAATATCGAACATTGCCACCAATTTATCCAATTTTGTAGGAATTTGGCCCTAAAATTGGGCCTTGAAAATGACACTGTAGGAGCTTCAAATGGCAAGATACACTACCGACACTTGGGGGTTTGATGGGGTACAGTGTCTTCACTAAGGCTATGGTAGTGTTGTGGCTTGGGATTACCTTTTTGATCAACTTCCATGCTCAATTTGATGACAAGGTAGAGCAAAGGGAGCCATTTTTGGACCACCATATTTTGTAGGAGGAAGGGTGAACTTTTACATTGCCTTGCTGGTATCCAGTGATGAATCCCGTTCGTACGGTCGTCCGTACTTCTGACACAACCGCACGCACGGTAATAGGCTTCAAGGGAAAAAGGTACCTAGAGGTACTCAAAGGTACAGCTTTAGTAGGGTACCGGTACAGCTTATACCGGTAGAACCGGACCCTACCGTGGTAGCCTTGCGCAGAGTACAGTAAAAGTACCATTTTGTACCTACATTGGACAGCACATAAGCACCCGGGGGGACTGAAGTTTTCCCCGGTCGTCAATGGAAGCATGAGGCTCAGTAATGTGTTGCCCGGTGTGAGCAAGTCCTCCCCGGTTAGCAGATTGCATGGACCATCGAGTACATGAAATGTAAATATGCTTCAACCAAGTGCAATGCGCGGCAGCTAATTTGTACGTAATACACTGCAAGAGGACTGAAGCGTTACATGCTGCGTTAGTCGGTTCATCGAATTCGGGGCATTTTGAAGCAAGGCTAAACTGGGGCAAAATGCTCGGCATATCAAGCCGATTTGCTGCCGAGGGCAATTTTTGCCGCACCCGGAACTCGGGCCGAGGGCCCGCACGGTAAATTTGAATTGGTACGGCGCCCGGGCCAATTTTCCGCGCCGTAGCCCGGCAAACCGCCCGCCACCAATTTGCACCATAGCGGTCCCGTGTCGAGCTTGCGTTCGACCAGCTCGTCGATGGTCGTTTCCATTGTGATCTCGAGCAGCTGCGCAGCGGCCTCTTCCTCTTTCAACATCCGCTGCTGCTTTTGGATCTTCTTCGCCTCGAGCTTTGCGTCGTAGCGCTGATTGGTTTTGCGCAAGAGCTGTGCAAGCAACCGATCCACAACGCGATCACGCGTAGCGCGTCTGTGGGGCCCGCTCTTGCAGGTCATTCAGCGTCACCGGGCTGACAGAGGTTGTGGACACCTCGGCGGCGCGTTCAGAAGTGGGGAGAGCGAGGTCGAGGGAGAGAATTCACTGGATTAGGCAAGGCAGTCGTCCTTGAGCTTGCGGATCTTGTCTTTGCCGACCTGAATTTCGCGGTGCAAGGTGTCTTGTAGCGCTTGGCAGAGCTTCTCGCCGTGTTCGGTCCGGAGGGGCTTGATGGCGGCCGCGAAGATCTCCGGACTGTTGTTGAAGTGGAACTGGCCCTTAGGCGCGCCGATGCGCATGCTGAGGTGGATCATCTCTTCGTCTGCTGACGGTCGATGAGGTCGACTTGGGCGCCAGTGTCGCGGGTGGTCTTACCGATTTTGCCCATGTCCTCCGCGCACTGCTTGAGGCGCGAGCTGATGAAAGAGAAGAACTGCGAGAGCCGCTCCTTCATGGCGCTGACGCTAAGTGGGGGCGACTCCGTGGCTTCACGCGGTGGTGGATTCGCGTGCGCGCTTTCTGCTACTGCGTTGTTCCGGGCGGTCTCCATGGCTGCCTGGTCTTGGTTAGCTGGTGGCTGGCGTTCTGTTGCCGTTCTGTCATGTTTCCTTTGGTGGCGGGATCGGGCGGAACGGGTTACGGGGGCGTTCTTCTGAGTAGGTGACTAGGTCGTTGAACGCTCTGCCGGTTTGCGCGCCTAGAGAAGTGTTGCCACGTGGTCGCAGGTTGTTCTCTACAGCGGATTCGTACTGCAGCAGGTGTGGAGTGTGCACTCTCGGCAAAACTCCGCCACATGCCTGGCTCGCGGCAGACGCGGCTCCTAGAACGACTTGGCGGCCGGGGGAGCCCATTCGGTGTGACGAAGGGGCTCGAAGAGCGCGGGGGTCACGGCCGCGACCTCCATGCAAGTGGGACTGCCGGACAGCTGAGTGGGCGTGAGTGTTGACTCCTTTTTGGCAGTAGGATTGCTCGTCAGCTTTGACTTTTGTGCGCGAACAGGCGACGAGACGTCGTCTGCGAGGTCTTTGTTGTTGCCGTCGAGCACCATTGGGTTGGGGTTAGCTGAGCCGCGGGCGGCGCGTCTTTGTTTGCCGCTAGGTTGGCGCTTAGGTTCGTGTTCAGTGTTGCTGCCGAGTCTAGAGTTTTGTCGATGGGAGTGTTGTCTTGGTTGGAGAGCGAAGCTGCGTAGAAGGACGGGAGCCAGGGCGAGAGAGGGCGGCCTTCGTCGACGTCGTCGGGGTTCGTGCGGATTGCGTTTTTGGCTTCGGATTCGGTGTCGGGTCGTGCTCGATTTCCTCGTTTACCTCTTCGTTCCGGTAGCCAATTCCGAGTGAGCAATGACTTTGAACATCGTATTGTGGTGGAATTTATACTATGAGATGCTTGGTGAGAATTTGGGCGCTCCTTCGGAAAGGCGCTTGTATGTGAAAGTGGTTGAATCCTTCTTGGAATCCAAGCATGAATGTATGACCTCAATAGACAGAGAGGCGCGCACACTGAATTTAAGGCAAAAAAGTAGACTTGCGAGCGCTTGGGCGCGCTGGGTCTCTTTCGGAACGGGGGACAGATTGACGAGAGAGGGTGAGTCCTTCAACACAATGCCATTTCACCACAGTGAGTGCGTGGGGGAGCCTGTCGTACTTCAGTGTAAGCACTAGGCCCGACATTGCATAAAGCGCACAGTCGCGCCCACCGCCTGTGGCCGGGTCGACGGGGGAGCACTAGCGGAGTAATTGAGCGCAGCGCAGTGAAGGTGGCGCTGTGGTTCCGCAAGCTAAGGTGAGTTCTCGAGTTTTATCTTGGGACGATCCAGATTTTCCGCAACAATACGGCCTTAAAAGCACGCGATCGCTTCACAGCGGTCAATGCACATTGACGTGATTCTCACTTCGCACGATAGCGCGTCGCGGGCAAGAAGGGTCGACTTTGCATACTAGGGGACGGAGGATACGAAGGCGGACACTATAACCAGAGCGTTCGCACGGAGGAAGTTCAAGAAGTGCAAGAGTGGGATAGAAATTCTATTAGTCATTTGTGTGTGGTGGAGTGTTGAGATTCGTACATTTGATGTGGGCAATGTTCTTGGTGACGTTGACGGGAGTTCGACGATAATCAATAGTAGCGATTGGCGGTTAAATACACGCGGAATACAGCCTTATACCCGATTGACTTATTTTAAAATTCCGACGTAATGAGTAGGTTCAATAAGAGCCGTAGATATTTGGATTTGCGCGACATGGCCCTCAATATCGAAACAGTGGGGGCGGCTGGACTCGAAGCGTATCCCGATGTGAAGATGCTGCAGCAGCACTTCTCAGGGGGCACAGGTGTCCTGCTCAGCTGGGATCTGACGCCCCAACATCTGAAAGTCCTGCAGGACCAAGCTGGTGCTGAGTTCTGGAAGCCACGTCAAGCACCTCCAACAGACTGGAACAACGAGGCAGCATCAGCACCCGGGGACAGCGTTGGCACGTCTCAGGACAAGCATCAGAAGCCCTGGCCATTTTGCCCCATCTGTGGGGCTCATCCGAAAGTCTTGTACATTGATTGCAGAGAGGTGTACATGCTGAGGACATACAACGAGCCTCACACAGAAGAGACGGTGCCGGTCCCCCTCTTGCCCATAACATACCCCCTGCCTGGCCAGATGTTCACAGTGGACTTGCCTCAGGACAAGGACACGTTGACAGGCGCTTCCAAGGTTGTGGGGAGTGCCTCGCTCAGGAAGATTCTCAGGCGGTGGTCGGGTCATGTTCCCGTCACGCAAATCAACAAGCGTGACAAGCTGACGGAGGTCCAGGTCGCGATACAGGAGCCTCTTAAAGAGGACGAACTCCAGGTAAGTTGCGATTATCAAAGTTTTATTACACTGTCATGCAAGTCCTTTTGTGATGTGTCTGTGGGCCTCTCCTTTTGGAGGCCTACCACTTCTGGAAGAGATCCCAATAGGCTACTTCATTTGTTGTTTTTACAGTAGTTCTCCGGTTGATTGAAACATCCTGGGCGAGTTATGGTTGCGTGAAAAAGAGGCATCAGCATATTCTCCTTTCCTTGAGAGCAACTGGCAATGCTGTTGCTCATCAGCAAGAATAAGATTTCACCGTTAGCTGTGTAAAAGTGAAAAGCCTCTGATGCGGCGTTCGTCTCCTGCTTCACTGATGGTTTGTTCGCCCCCTGCGCACCAATTCCTAAGCTTCCTCCACAGCTCACATTCTCGCCTGCGCTGTGCAGAAGTTGGAGGAGCTCCCCTCCTGTGTCCGCAACCTGATCGAGGTCGTCAACGGTGCTGGCAAGACCCTCTGCCCGTCACCTGCCTATGCCCCCCTTTTCTACCACCTGGGGTACATGCACAGCGACTCTGTGCTCCTGAAGCATGGCGCGCAGGAAGCCATTGTTGCACTCTTGGTGACCCTGAAGCTCGCGGGGCGCAAGGAGCTCATCGAGATCCACTGCGAGTGGGACGAGGCGTTGGACACGTACGCGCCACTCCTGCAGCGGGTGATCCACAGTTGCAAAGCCAAGACTCAGACCTGGAAGGGGTTCCAGGTACATACCATCCCTCTTCTACTTTGTCACATATTTTGCCATCATCTGTCCAAAAGCAGCGGAAGCTGTGTGGTTGTAGTGGCAATGTTTTGATTGCCCACTGTGTACTGTTGACGACATATACATTTCTCCTTCACAGGTGATTATCCCGCCACCCCCTGCGGGCCTGAAGGTGGTGCGGAAGAGCAGCGGCTATAGCGCGAAGGTGGCAATGCTGAGAGCATTAGCCCCGCTGCTTCAGCACCTGCTGCGACTGTCATTCTACACCAACGACTACATCACCTGGCAGGTTGCGTCGGACAAGCTCTGTGAAGCCTTGGGGGTGAAATCCAACGAGACATGGTTGGCGGAGACAGTGGGTGGGGGGCGGAGCGTCGATCCGGCGGAGGCGTGGGCCAAGCGAGGAGAGATTAGAGACCTGATGTCAGGTCCTTGCCGGGGAACATACGAGTACCCTGCAACAGAAAAATACATACTCAATCAGCAGAGGCTGAGCTCCTCCAACACCTATCACCGGGTGTTCCGTGCGGTGCCACAGTACGTGGGGAGGGACGCATCCAACGGCATGTGTCTGGGCGGGGAGCGAGACATCAAGTGCCTCACGGAGGCAGGCGATGAGAAGACGGCACTTGTTACGAGCGAGGGAAAGGTACGTTTCAACAAGTCTGTGTACTTTACTGGGCTGCGAATGGTTTGGAATCGAATAACCATTTTATCAACGTCCTAATGTGCGCATTTATCACAGTTTTCGTTGAAAGTGTCGCAGGTTGCGTGTAACGCAGGTGTACTCGTTTTGGGCCGAAGGTCTGTGGCATAGCTGAGGATTCACAGCAAGTGTTGTCCTAAATCCAACAGTTTCTTCTGGTACCAGGCCAGCCTGGCGGCCAGAGGAAAGCCAGTCAACTCTGGTATTATTGTCATTTCTGCTCTCTTTGGTTCCCCTGTTACGTTACAGGGGCGACAGTTTGGGCGAAAATGGTAATAACGTATACTCACAACTTCCATACAGGCCAAGAAGAAACCCCCGAGGGCCGACACCGATGGGGTGATGGTGGGAACCTGCAAGCACCGCTTTGTCTACTACTTCCACATCCTCCTCCGACATGAGTCTCTGCGGGACATCTTCACATTCCTCTCGACTCGATTCGAGCACCGGCCTCCAGAGATCATTGTCTACGACAACGCCTGCGAGCTCTCCCGGTACTGTGAAGGGGTAAGTTAGGTATTCTTCTTCAATCCTCAGTAGTCTCTGCCGATATCCTCCTCTGACTATTTGCTGGACATCTCACACCCCTCTTCACGCACCGGCCTTTGCACACCGCACCTCTGATCTGCACTTATGTACTTTGCAGCGGTGGCCAGAGTTTTTTGCCAAAACCATGTTCCTCACGGACGTCTTTCACGGCGTCAACCACCGGTGCTCAGACGAGTTCAAGTACAACAAGCACCGGCTGGATGAAGGGCGTGAGCTCCAGAACACGCGCAACACATCGGTGTCCGAGCAGATCAATCAGCTGATGATGCGCCTGGACAAGACTGCAACCCATTTTACCATCGGGAATGGTATGCTGGTCTACGATCATTTTGTGTACATGCACAACACCCAGCTCCACAAGGAGTGGTTGGCGCACTCTAAATCTGCCCCGTGATGTGGGATGTCGAGCGCCCGTACCAGGTGAGTATCTCCTGCCCCTTTGGGACATCTTAGTCAGCACCATGTAAATCCTGCCATCGTATTGCTTCCAAGCTGCATTTTGTTGGGCTTCTGTGTCTGCAGCATTGGGGTACCTCGGAACACTGCTGGTCTTTGGGTCTGACCCGTCAATAACGTACACGACTCGCCCTTTTTTATGGACATCAAAGAGATATGATTTGTCTCCTTGCTTTGCTTCTGCCTCTGCATCTGTAAGAATCTTGCCAACGAATTCACCGATGATGTAACCCTTTTTGAGATGTCGCTGGCTGTATAAACCAAGACCTTTGAGCCCCTTGTTGGCCAAGAAATTGCTCTTGGCTACCTTGATAAATGCGTCAGCGTACCTGCTACTCACACCTACCTTTGTTCGGAGGCTCGCTTCCTGGTACTTCCCCATATATGAAGCACTCAAAATATACATCTCTCGTGCAGGTGCTGGCGGTGTTTCAAGTGTCATTAGTTGTCAAACAGATAGGAACCATCATTTTTGTATCGATTTTCAGTGCCGGACGGACAGACTCAAGTGTGCACAATGTATACGCAAAGCCCCAGTTTTAGATAGAAAACACGAGATTTATTCCGTGTATGTGCCGGTACTGATCTCGGTTCTTTACCAACGGCTGATGGGGCAATACATGCACGTATGTTATTGTAGAGATGCTTAGCTGTGGCTGTGCTGATGCCCGCAATAGGTACTGCGAAAACTGCATATCTGCATACACCACTTTCAATTGCATGAGTCATGCATGTAATAGCATTCAAATTGCACAAGCTGTGTATCTCATATCAACCCTGACAGGGTTGCCCTGGATATGAAGTCCGACTACGGATGTACGGAAGTCCGACGGTCTAACGACAGATATTGAGAATACCTGATCCCTATACTTCGCTATAGGGACGAGGAAGAAGGGGCTCGATGGCAAGCTGTGGAGGATAGTCAGGGTGCACTCGGCATCCGGTAAACTCTCTAAACGGTGGCAGCGGGTGCCCAAATCAAAGTAAAGCACCCCTTGCGTAGGCAGTCGATGAACCACACATCTGGAATTCAAGCCGGTAACCACACATCGTCCAGTCCGCTGACTACGGATACCACACGTATTCGTCGGACTTCCCCGGTTGGCACCAGCCAATAAACTTTTCATGACATTCGAGATGGGTGAACCGTGAACTCACCCGATATGAGGGAACAATTCTCCCAACTTGAAACCTGTCGAAGCCAGACACAGGACACATTTAAAAGATCTATGAAGCACTGAATCTGTTCACCATTTTCGCAATATCCTAATTTTCTCCCATAGTCTTTATCTACGAAAGCTTCTCTCAGTCGACCGAGGGTTGTGATGGCTTCGCTTTCGACTTTTGGTGAGAGTCGCAGAGAAGGCGCAGTAAACGGGCAATAGCCGTTCGCTAGTGTTCGTTGTCTCGCTGCATTCTTTCGGAGAGCTGTAAATTGAGCTGAGATGTATAGTGCACAGAGGATGTTGGAGAGTCTCTTGGTGATTCGAAGCAATAAAGAGGCTGCTGATGTGCGGCATGCACTGAATCTGCCACTCTGGGTTCGCTTTATCCAAGGTGTCATGGAGCTTTCAGGGCACATCGACACTACCTGAAGAGCGAGTTGGATCAACGGTGAGATCCCGCCCAACGAGTTCAACGAATTGATGCATCTAGTGCATTCGTTGGCTTTTTGCTTCCATACAAGGTGCTGCTCTGCGTCCTCTAGTCTCCACGATAATAAGACGTGTCGATCAGAGCGATACGCTCGAAACACATATCGGGAAAGATCTGCGGAAGCAAGTCTTTCAACGAGCACTGAATGTTGAGGGAAACGATATATTATCCGTGCCCACTCGGAGTCCGTGCATGCGAGTTCCATATCTCTTTCGTGTGATGCTGTTATTTTCAAATGAGGAAGCGAACGCGACCCATCGGAGGTATGTAGCAGCTGTTCATTTGGAGCATGCGCTCTCTATATCGAACGCTCCTTCTGTGATTGCCGGCAGGTGTCGAGGATCTTCAGCCACCGTTTCTGACAACATACGGCGGAATCGCATGTCGAGTCTCGTCCTCGTCCGTCCCATGAGCGGTACAGGCTGCCTCCCAAATCCTCACATAGCGCTAGTGGACGATCGTTTGAACGTGTATCTTCTTCTGGAACGATACTCTTCCAATCGACCGCTCCCAAAGGAGCTGCCGCGTCGACTTTAAACCGGATCTGAATCTGACGTTTCGGATGATCGGGACCGAACGAACTGCCCTCCAAGGGGACCACTTTGACTGTGAGGTCCAAGGCGTCTACTTTCCCAGCACTGAAACAAGTCTCCACGATCATCTCCATCAGACATCGGCGGAGTTTTATCGCATCTCCGTACACCTTCGTTGGAACGTCGTCTGTCGTATTCCAGGTTGCGCAGTGTATGAGGTCCGGTCTTGATTGACTCAAAGCGAGGCGGAAATTCTCGATGGGGTCGAACTCGTACTCGTCGATAGACATCCGTCCGGTCTCAGCGACTTCGACTTCGATGATATCGTCTAACCTAGGGACGAGGCTTTATATGCTCTCCCGGTCATTCGGAAGATGTCTTTCCCCTGAAGCGCTCAAGGCTGCTAGCGGTGCTCGCACCTCTTCTTTTATGCGGCGTATGAAACTGAGTTTATGACGCCCAGTGTCTTCTGCGTTGTCCATAGCAGATGCCGACTCACGGGTGCGGTAGTGAAGATGTGCCTGAAACTGCTTGTTCAAAGTCGCGGCCGTAAAGTTCGTGGCATCCTGTTCGCAGACTAAAGCTGCCATGCATAGACTCGCAGTGCTCACCACGCATATGAAGCTCTGTTCGAGCACGAGCCAAAAGAAAGGAGAGTGAAGATTGCCACTGAACGGACCCTTCCCGTTAGAACTTCCTATGATCACCAAGCTCACTGCCAGCAGGATCGCTACAGAGACGCCGTGTATGTCCATGATGGTGGAGGCGACGAGGAGAACTAGCCCGAATGCAGGAAAGAGGAGGGGTCGGAGTTGTTCGCTCTCGACCAACCCCCATCCATTCAGAAAGACGAAAGATTATACGATGAGGATAGCCAGGTACACCGCACTCAATGAGACGATCCGACGTCTATCCAGCCCAGTCCAAGGTTGAGTCAGCGCCGGTACTAAAGCGCACGTGGCACCGAGACGTCCTAAGAATTGCGCCGCACCATAGAGCCCTATTTGCTTTGCGTTGCTGATGTGGACCGCGACGAGGATGATATCGATGCTGTATTCTGAGATCAGAGGGGCAATGGGCATTGCCGCAAAGAATGCGAATGCACTGTTTCTAGTGTCGAACCAGTTCTTCGTGCGGCCACTCAGCAGGTGGACCAATGCACAGGATATGGTCGCTTCCAAGCAACTGATGAGGGCGAATACGGGAGCGATTGCCAAGAATTTGGCATGGTGATATCGTCTCGATGTATAATACATGACGACCAAATGCATGAAGGATCCCACGAAGACACCTCCTGCAACTTGCACACGGCCAAAACGGAGTGCCGCTGCGAGTCCGATCGCAGATGGAGCCCACACGGGGACGGAGTGTGTGTCTTTTTGAACGAGAACTACTTAGTTGTGCCAGACCGAAGTAAGCTATCAGAAACCGATAAAGTCTGCAGCCAGTTGGCAGGTTTCTTCCACGACGACGGCTGATGCATGAATGGTCATACTACGGGACCACGAAAATATATGGTAATCCGATATGTGTGCGTGGTACGATTTTTGTTTAGTTTGTGTTGTATCTGCGGTTCTAAGCCTTTACTGCGGCGAATTTTACTACAAATAATGATATAGCTAAGTGACAAGTTACGAAATGGAGTACGTATTGCGAACATCATATCTCCGGCATGATGTTCGCAATTCCGTTCGTGCCCGCAATGCGAGAGCGTTCGAAGGCGCAGCCGGAGAAACGGCAAAATCCTCAGATAAGGAAGGCGACCCGCAGGAAGCCGATTCTCCAGGTGTCGACGATTGTGAGGGCACGCTGAATCCGAGGGTGACCGTCAAATGACTATTTCTTCTTTCGCATGAGAGCCATGATGTTTTTGATCAGGCCTGTGACGATCGACCCCCACACGACCAAGAGAACAACGGCACCTATGAGTAGCCCATAAGCCTCCCTGTCACCGATCCACTCCTTGATAAGGAAGTAGAGTAGTGCAGAGACGCAACACGATTCGACAAAGTACCCCAATATGAACAACACCTGAGTAGTCGTCGTCGACCCAGTTGTCGGAATTATGATTGGCGCGATAAATTGCAAGACACCTAATTGCGCATCCATTTTATCATCTTGATAAGATGTAATAGTTGCAGCAGCCGAAGAATTTGTACATGTCATGTGCATAGCAAAAAAATCTGCTTATCCGTAAGGGAAACCGTAGCTCTTGTCTTTCCGCGCACCGACGGATGCGGTCTGCACATCTGAAAAAAATATCCGTATGAGTTCAAGATCCGTCTCCACTCTCACGGCCGTCGATCTCTTCACGGGCATCTCGGGGTGTGATGCATGAATGGTCATACTGCGAGCCACGAAAATATATGGCAATCCGACATGTGTGCGTGGTACGTTTTTTGTCTAGTTTGTGTTGTATTTGCGGTTCTAGGCCTTTACGGCGGCGAATTTTACTACAAATAACAATATAGCTAAGTGACAAGTTACGAAATGGAGTACGACTATCCATACGAACATGACACCTCGGATCCTGATGAGCATCACTACGAGAAGCGTTTGAACAGCTTCGACGCCGAATGCGGGTTCTTTTGCGCGACAGCCCGAGTGAGATGAAGCAAGCTGTGACCAGTATTGGTGAACTAGAGAACCACCTAGATAGAATCACTTTGTGGCAATAGGCACTTTTCATAACGGAAGCGCTTGCGTTGATATAGGGGAATTGATCGATCAGCAAGTGAGCAATAAGTGC